ATAAAGTAGACACTCAGGTACTTCAAATGACATCTGAGTAGATCAAATTACCTAAACTGTGTTGAATTCATGGTTGAGATCAACTGTAAACTTACCAAAATTCATTTGCCGATCTTACTATATTGTTTATTCAGAGAAATGTGAGTTATGATTTGTCTGAAATATGTCCTTCGAAAAATCTTATCGGAATAATTGCATACTGTGGTAGTGGGGTGTTACTGAATTTGTAGCTTTTTTAGAAAAGGAAGTTTTAGATTTTCAGCATCCTTCATGCTTAGTTATATTAGTTACTTTCTTTTAGGACAAATAACAGTCTACCAAAGGTATTTCATAAAACCGGATGAACAGTGAGTAAGTTTTTCATCATTGTCTAACTATTGAAAACAAGACAGCTATTCCATCGCAGTTTCAGACAACTTATAAGCGTACGAAATGAGCCAATTTTCTTAGGACTAAATAAAATCTTCGCTGATTCAGTGTGCGGAATTCCAACAGACATGATTTTATAAAGTTATTTATTAATTCAGAATTATTGTCATCACAAGTTACCACCAATTAACTCTGGGATAAAATGTTCTACGGAAAAACTACATAATTCATTCCTTTAATAAGATTCATCCTATTATTACATAAATATCTGTATTCAAGGGGTAGATAACTTTAAATCATGAGCTAAGTACAGATTACTGCTGAACGACTAGTGATTTGTCAATAACCGGTGTGTACAGACCTGCCCGTGGTGAAACCACTTCGGTTAATCTAATCACATGTCACAGTCAATAATATACAATATTAAAATCTCTGACAGTTTCATCGCCTTCCTAATATTCTTTTAGACTGGAGCGTAAGAATACACGTTATAAAAGAATCTTTGCATTAAGTCATAAATATGGACTACGTTCGCTATTTCAAATCTATGCAAACAGAACATGATACAAATAAGTGGGATATTTCTACTAATGTTTACCAATAGCTTTAATGATGCAAATAGCCTGTCAAGTGAAATAAGCAGCAGATGATTATTAGCATCAATATCGTAAACAAAAACATGATAAGAATGAAAGAATGCTTCAATTCAAATTCCTTTGTATCATTATTAATGCAGAGAATACTGGTATGCTGACTTAAGTCTCAATGCAAACTGGGCCCAACCTAAAGTGGAAATCATCTTTTTACTCCACTCCCTTGAGTTAGCTTTCCTAACAGTTTTTAATTTTATAAAGTATCGAAGAAAACCCATTCGATTATAGGAAAAGACACAAGGCTGTTGTGAAGAAGAAAAAATTTTCTCTTTAATAAAATCATTCTCCAAGCTAAAAATTATGGAATATGTAGTAGAAGAAATAGAATATTCTAGAGCAATTTCTGGTAATAATAGATACAAATCGTATGATAAAGTTACTCAATGTCTATGGGCGCTTGTAACAGGGAAATGAACAAAAGGATTACAAAATAAATAGTTACATTATCAAGGAATAACCTTGACCGATCGATTCTCTACGACAGCCACAACAAAGATTGAGGTTATATAGACTACTTTTGAACACATAATGAGGGTTTCGACTTTTGAACTGCTAATTTTTCAGCCACAACCACTCCTTTCAAGTGACTCGATCGCACTTCGTACTACATTTCGAAAGACTTATCAAAAGAAGCCAAGTTTACTAAGTGTCCTATCACAGAGATGAAGATGAATTTCCATTTTCCCTTTTTTAGTCAAGCCGGATAGTTTCCGTGAGCACACGGCATAAGCTGGCGTACAGTACAGCGGATGTACTCAGTTCCGGAGAAGCAAGTAAACTCATATAAACACACTGATATGGCCTGATGCTCCAGCTTGTCCTTTGCGTACTGACGAATGACCTACTGACGGAAGAATATGATTTCAAGATTGGCAGCAAAGAATGTTTTCTTTGTGAATTTTATTAGTTTTTCTTCTGAGGATGTCTGCCTCATTTGTCTCCCCTGAATTTGAAGTTTGATAGTATAATATTATGCGGAGCAGTCTGTAAGTTTTCCGTGACTTCTTCTGGCTCTAAATTCTAACCTTTAAACTTAAGTGAGTATCTGATTCACAGAAGGATTTCTTACAAGTTATCTAGTTCGCCTTCGATGCCACCCCCATGTATATTCTTAGTACTCCCAGGGAGAGTGAACTGATAAGAAAGAAACACAGTTTTGAGAGTAATTAACTGCTTATTCTAAGTGGGCTTTTTGTACAAAGATCTCTCAACTGAATTGTCTTCTCTTTGAAGTTGGATATCGAGAAAATGGTAATTTAAGCTGCACTTTGATTCTAGACTGAATAACTTTATTTTCAATTAATCTAATCATGGGAAGCCATGAAATTCATCTCCATCAATTTAACTTGCATTGTTTTACTACACTAGTGAATAATTCATAAAAAAGCTGTGTGATAGAAGAATAAGGTAAAGAGATTGGTGACTAGTTGAAATTAGTTGGATTACAAGATTTACTATGAAAAGTAACCACCAAGACCACGAGTGTCTACAATCGAAAATTTTCCTATCCCACTTTTTTTAGACTTTTAGAAAAATTGAGGTAAAATCTACTGTATGGACATCTTTCATAACACTGGAAATCTGCCTATCTATCTTAGTGAAATGAAAATTTATTCTAGTCTCCAGTATTAATCAAATTTTATAGATAAAGAAATAAACTTTAGTGAGTTTTTTTGTGGTCACTGATGATCTACTGGAACACCCTAAAATTAACACTTCAAACAGCCCAGATTCAAAATTTTAAAAGAAAGGAATAACTGTAAAAGTAATCTATACAGTCTGTTAATGAGTACCAACAATCAGTAACTATGTGTTACTGAAGCATATCTTCCGTCATCCATCGTTATAAAATGCATAAATTCTCGTGACAGTGACTAAGCATATCCAGTGCACAAAAATATCTTTCCTATGGTTTGAATAAATCAGATTTGAAGCACAGCTTTATCCTAACATGATGTCTTCAAACAGCTACTGGTGTCTCCATAAAACTACTAAATTCCTGTACTTAATACAATTAAGTCGAAACAGGAGTAAAAACAAAAGTTCAGAATATTTAGACATAAAATAATACACATCCGTGAAAACCTTAAACATAAATGCCTTCCTCTAAACGGCTGATGCGGAATAACTGAGTACTATTAAAATCTGTTGGAAACGAAATATATATAGATCGTATGGAGCATTGTCATCAAAAGGGAGCATAAGTTTTATGAATGCCTACAAACCCAGTGTAAGGCAAACAATGCAAATTCCGTAAATGAAATAGTCAAAACAGTTAAACTTGTTCAGTATTTAAGTATAAAGTATGTGACTGGTTCGATTACAGTCACACACACGGCCACGTTGATTTAAGTGTCAAATCTCATACAGTCAAAGGCCAGCTATTTTTGCATATGAAAAAAGTACACAGTGGCACAGTACAGTAAAGTTTGCATGAATAATCTAACTGCCAAGATTATAAATCGCAAACAGGTAAGTTAAATATGCGGTTTTCCTGAAGAAAATCAGTATATTTGTTTTGAGGACTTCAAATGTGTAAGTACCGCAAAAATGAAAGTCCTTACTGCGAAATGACTAAAGTTAGGTCACAAAGTTGTGTGAGAACTTTGATGCGATTATGGGCGGTAAATGATACACAAGATGTCATAAAATATATATTGCACGATATCTTGGTGCATGTGTTCTACTTTTAAACATATTATTTTTGTAAAATCAACGGTCTCCGTAACATTGTTTAGCTTCGGCTGACTATATCTTACGCAAATTTTCTCACAGTACTACATTTAGTTGATTGCACCTCAATCCTGGCTTTTGCCGATAACAGTCGGGAGATTCTTAGATAGACTATTGTTGAAAATAGATTAATATCCTACCTCGTGTTTGATAAAGCCGGTGATTTCACTCATTTAAGGTTATCATGAAAACGGTTGTCCTTCAGACTGTTTGCATAAATTAGGTGATTACCATTCAATATGTGACTCATTTTAGGTGACTACTGATAATGTCCATGATCGTCAATAATTTATGATGTAATGCTGTTAAATCTATTATTGCATCCTTATGGTCAACTTTTCATCAAACTGCATTACCTTTCAGCGAAACCCAGCTGTGGCAGTACGACACCTAGAAACATGATGAGAAAGTTGTTGCAAATTGAAGACTTTGGGATGAGATTGGCTACAGAAAAGGAAGAAAAATATTGAATATACTGAAGTCACGCAAAAAATCCCTTTAGTAATTTGGCTGCACTATCAATGTTGTCGTATTATTAACCCTTTCTCATTGAGTTTCCATTTAGTTTTCGTATATGGTCAATTTTTATATCGAAATATCCAAATGCTTCATGAATTATAACAGGTGTGTGTCGGTTTGAGAACAAGATATTCGAAATACACTGCACTATTGGATTACGCGACCCAGATAGGTGGTGCCTTCTCATTTTCTTGTCCAAATTTATAGAGGTACCTCGTAATTTTTAATTAGAATTCGTAATGAATATTAAATGAAAACCGCCTGAAAGTTTTTCTAGTTTTACCAGTTTCATCGCATCGAAGACAGTCACTAGTCTCAAACCTCTTGTTATTCAATAAAAATTTGACCTCAAAATTTATGATCAAATTTCTTAAACATCAACATGTATATTTAATCTGTCGTACAGACTTGTGAACATATGTTGGTTATGTCTTTAACGAGAAAATAAGCATACGACGGGTGCAAAGTAGCACAAAAGAAACCAAATTAACGTAAATCCCTTAGTCTGCACGTTCAGCTGGGCTGCTTTACTACAAAACGTAAGAGAATACTTAAGCGAAGCTGATTACTTATTAGTCAACTTATTGATAATGTGCAACATACTTAGGTGGGTTGAGAATCAGACAACATCATGCACAGATCATTAAAATTATATCTACTATATCACTCAGTTTCGAATTCACTATCGTTTAAAAGTCTTCACTCTGTTTGCTTCAAATTTTTTAGCTAACAGATGAAGAACGTGTTTACTTGAATGCAGCCGCTACAGGTGATATAGGCATTATTCGTATGTCACTGGAAGATACTGACGATTCAATTGAATTCAATGTGAACTGTGTTGATTATATGGGTCGTAATGCTTTGCATCTTGCTGTTGACTCTGAAAATACAGATGTCATGGAAATGCTGCTTGATAAGCTAAATTTTGAGTGTATTGAAGAGGCTTTACTCCATGCGATCAGTAAAGGACATCCCAAATTAGTACGAGTTATTATTGAGCATCCAAATTACCAGGCTGGTGAAGATCAAATCAAAAGAATGGATTCAAAAAATGCATTTTTTCGGACAACGGAGAAAAGTCAATTCTCACCAGATATAACTCCACTCATACTATCAGCACACTATAACAATCATGAAATGGTACAAATGTTTCTATCACGTAATCATACAATTGATAAACCACATTCAATATCCTGTCAATGTAATGATTGTCAGGTCAGACAAGATTATGATTCACTGAAACGATCGAGATCAAGGTTGAATGCCTATAGAGCATTAGCAAGCCCAGCATATATGGCACTCAGTAGTCCAGATCCTATAATGACAACATTTCAGTTGCGTCAAGAAATGATGAAACTGGCTGAAATTGAGAAAGAATTCAAGGTAAGCTTAGAGTACTAAGTGTGTAAATTTACTGTTTCTAAGTGCACTTTCCTGTTCGTATTCAACTCGGAAACTAACACCACTGAACACATGGCCCAGTTTACTAGAAAGTATTTGTACTCAACTAAGCAGACACTGCCGATTAATGAATACCTTTAGACAAAGGAAGACACATATCATTCTTCCGTATTACAGCCCGCTGAAAGATGTAATTACTAAGGGCAATCTTAAATCCGAATAACGCATAGATACTTTAACTCATCTGACAATCTGCTATCATTTTCTTTATTAGTCTGGAGCTTCATGTAAAATACAGAGTGAACAATAAAGTCAGACGCCTTGGTTATCAAATAGTTCTAATTAGTAAAATATGTTCGAAATATGTTGCATAAAAACATTACACGGTTCAGACAACTTACGTCTTCCTATTGTTTTTTTGAAGCCCATAAAGAAAACTAATTGTTTTAAAGTAAACCACGCATTACTTTTTGGTTTTTGAACAACCCTGTGGTGTAACTAACGTTATAATTTTCCTTCGTTGTGACTTTCATTAAGCAACCTGAAGTTTGGATCAGTTCTGTTAAGGGATTTTCATAAACGTTCCTCCAATCAAGGTCTTACTTGGGAAACAATTTAACTAAGATATACTTAAGCACTGAAGTAACTTCGCATACATTAGTTGATTGAAGGGACTAAGCGAATAAAAGCAGATTTGAAACCATGCTCATGGCATTCACATTAATTATATTTCGAGAAGCTATCGCTCATATATATAAGTATATATAATTACTCCAGATGTTTCCTAAGCGGAAAATATTTTTCCAGTGGAATTTAACCATTTTTTGAATAAATAAAAATAAAGTTGTTTTATGAATGCATGTAAAACCACCTGTCATTACTAAATATAGAGATAATGAAAAGCGAAGTCGGCTTAAAAAAAAGAAGACATTGAATGCCTTCTACAGCGACACTGTAGGTTGGATTCTTTGTCTATGTACTCGTGTGGTCTTTCCAGTAATATACGCCGTTATTTTAACTTATGTATGGATATATAAATGACCATTTTGTCCAGTATCTAAGATAAATAATTCAAATTTGAATGCTGGTGAGACTGTGGTTGGATAAATAGCAGCTTCGCATCACTATTTCATATCACGTTCATAAGATCCAAACACACGCATTTGCAATGGATAAATAAACAACAAGTTAGTGATAAAATCATCACGAGGTTCTTACATGCTTCAGAAACGATGAATATATCAGCAATAATGCCAGATTTAAAGTGCAGACAAAGTTTAAACGACAATATCTACCAACGTGAGATAGATGATCAGCGAACGCGAACCAATATCAGGAACCTTACTTTCCTCTTGATAACAATAATAAATCAATACGAATATAGTTACGAAAGAACAAAATGAAATTTTATTCTTTACAGCTGAAACGTTTATAAGTGTACCTGCAAATTTGAAAACAACTAGTGAGTTATTTTAAATGGGCTGGGAGTGAAATGAAGAAAACTAGAAATAAGATCAAACATGCTCTACACTCACACTATCATAAGGTCATTGGGTTTTCTGTCAAACATGGCAGTACTAATGAATAAACTTTTCATGACTATCGGGACAAAAGTACACCATAAATGAAACTTTCGGACGAAAGGCTTTGAGGCTATTTAGCTGGAAACAAATTTATTTGGATCGTCTTCAAAACTATTAAACGCAAACTGTTTTATATTCTGTATTGAAGCAATTTTAAAGGAAAATATAAACAAGTGAATATATCATGTGCGCATAGCGTGGATAATTTTGAGGAAATCATGACAAGTTCATATCGATTCAGATCAAACAACTGGGAATACCGTTTATGAATGCTGTCTAAAAGAAATGTATTCAGTTTGTGTATTCATTTATTCATAATAATATCTCTGAAAAAAAACATTTTTTCAGTTCAGTTAGGGAAGTACTGAATGTATTCAATAATGGTTGTCAGTGAAATGTAAGACGTCTGTTTGCATTCAAAGCCTAATACTGATCTCTTAGAACCCCAGTGAGTCATCCGATTTGATAGTATACTGCAGTACCCCCCCCCCCCAGCTTGCTGAATAACGTTCGGTTTCTAGAAAGTGGTTCAAAATTCATGTCTCAGAAGTAAATGTAATCGGAAAGAGCTGGATCCATTTGATCAGTACAGGATACTTTAGCAGATCCAAACAACTTTTATTAAAACGCTTATATTGGTTCATATTTCATGAGCTTTTATGAGAATGAACCTCACTATCTCATCAGCTGTAAGCGATAGCACGTGTGTAAACTTACGTGATTGATTTTTCATCGACTATCGAATTCACTATTTTAATAATATACGTTTTATGTATCACAATATTTCTCATTTTTAACCTAGTAAGCATTGTGCTACATTGCATTTTTAGAGTTAGGACATTAGGAATTTTGTTTCTTTTAAAAAGCGCTTGATTCTCCTCTTGAGTGAAAATACTTTCAAAATAATACCTTAATTCTCTTCACCCGCCAAAAAAGCTGTCTCGTAGAGACTATGCCTTAGTTAGTGGTATTCTTTAGCCGAGTGAAAACATTAGAGGAACTCACTGTTTATAATTTCATAGGAAAAGGTTTGGCATCTGATTCAATAAATATGTAGCTAAATAAAGGCTAGCTCTTTGATGATCAATCCTGATGAGATACTTTTCCACTGAAAGGTTGAAAAATAATGACAGTCGGCTTTGATGCTCTGTACTTACCCATAATAAAGCATCGAACTTTGACTTTGGCCTTAAGTAATTTTCATCTTGTTCTCTACTTTTTCATCAACTAGCGTAGGCACTGATACATAAAGAATCCTCATACAATCTACCAACATTTTGACTTACTCAAATTTGAAATAATTTGTATGCCGATCAATTTTCTTAAAACGTTGGTTTTAAACTGAAGGTAACCATCTAGTTTTGTTTTCACTGTAAAAATCTAAAGGTAACCTTCTAAACAGGTACTGGAACACCTACTGTTTAAAACGCATTGAGATAAGCAAAGACCATTTCGACATTTAGCTGAAGTGAATACGTAAGTAAATACCTAGGTCTAAAGTAGCAAAGCCTGAGCGAATTATATTCAAAGACACTTATTGGTTAACCGAATTGTCTCTTAAGGCAATAAATACGTCTCTAGTGCATAGCTGCGGACAAGACCACATGCATATGAAGTATTCATCAGATAAAGACCTGCAAAACATGGTCAGTAGTGAATGATATTATAGGTTTGACCGATATGTCAATAGGAGAAACGCTAGTGAGTTGGACGACTGAGCCAGATAATCAAACAGATGTCATGCTGTTATACTGGTAATTGATTTTCCGAATGAAATAAATCAACACCAATATTTTCAAATATAATGGAAAGTTTTTGGCGCCTGTATTAATCTTCCTCAAATATTAATCACAGAAGCTTACGTAATATTCCTTTTTATGAAATACATTGTTCCATGTAAGGTTTGTAATCATTCATGCCTTCAAAAATTCATTACTGATATTTCATAGTATACTCCAGTAAATAAAAATAACTTCTTTTCAGCTTACACAGGATAAGAAATCAACTTCATAAGCTTATTAGTGTGTTATTCTTTCATTATTTGTGTAAATCTATGGTTTAAAACTGTACATGAAATATTGTGTCCAATTTCAAGTCGAGTAAATCATACATGTGACGGTGAGACTGTTCCTGACGCGTTAATTAGAATAGGTGGTGTGCTTCGCTGTTTTAAATGAAACCAAACGTGTTCCTTTTAAACGAATCCGGTATGAATAACTTTGTCGTAACTTATTCTTTAATTCTGTCTCAGTTTGGTCATAAATTTAACTTTTTTTCAAGTTGGTATTCATCATGGACTGACATCAGTTAGAGGAACATTGAAAACCTGGGAGCACTGGACAGCCATTTCGTCCTAGCGTGGGACTCTTCAGCGGTGCGCATTCATGACCACGCCAGGGTTCGAACCCGCGAACTTCAGGTTCCATGGCCAGCAAGTTATCAATAAGCCAATGGGTTGGGATCCAGTGGTCCATATTTCTTACTTCTGTCAGTTCACGACATAGTGCGACCACCACCCAATTACAACGTTTAGTGTTCGTCCTCATGGCCACTAGGTTTTCCCTCACTAATCACGATACAAAACAGGCAAATTAAAGCCAAACGCACATTTTCGATAGAGAACTGCTTCGAGTACACCATTATTCCGTTCATGTTTTCAGGGACCTAACAGTAAAAAGTAATTGGTATACTTATTTGTCACTTCTGTTTCAAAGTAACGAATAATTCAACCTATCCCACTGTGTACATAAACTACCTCTTGGGATATGTTAATCTACTTACGAAATGAATGTTGTTGGTAAAACAAATACGCACTTGAAACCAGTGTTAGAACCGTTCACATATACTTAGTGAGGATCTTTAAAATGAAGCATAACAACCATTCAAATTATAGTTTGTTTTACTATTCATCATTGAGTAATGTTGATATATCTTTTACTTTTATTAAGGTTAACTTGCCTAATGGCTTTCCACTACATTTAATATTAGGGTAAGTCAATTTACTTAAGCATCCCTAGGTAAAACCCTTCAGAGTTGTGAAGTGAACTGAAATTTGGGCTTGACTTTGTTTCTGTCTCAATAAATTTGTAAAAACCATTGAACAGCATCTATTTTCCAAACAATGGAACCTGTACAGGATTCAACAAATCTACAGAGTTTGCAGAATTAAATGCATAAATCTTCTGATTACTAGCAATGGAGTAGTTTGCTATAACTAAACTCATCTATGTAAATATTCATGTCTTTTACCATACAAGATGACAGTGCTTCAGCAGTACTGAACCATTTAATCATTTCAGTTCTAATTTTCATGATACTGGTGAAAAACACCAAGTTAACATTTTTCCCACAATGGAAACTTTATTCCGTCTTAACTGTTCTAATATAATGTAAAAAAGG